TCTCTCTCTCTCTCTCCCTCTGTCTCTCTCTCTCTCAGACAGGGAGGGTGGATCCTCAGCACCCCCGGGTGTGTGGTCACAGTGGACGAGTCCTGGACGTCAAATGGAACCCGTTTGACGATCACTGCGTCGCCTCGTGCTCCGAGGACTGCACCGTACGGTCCTGTTATTATCAGTTATTAATAATAAACATTAATATTATTATTCATCGTCTTCAAAAGCTGTGGATTCAGACTCTTCAGGTCGGACTGAGGTTCAGTTTAAGTTCATCAGAGGTTCAGTTGACACAAACCAGGATATGTGCGTGTTCGCAGGTTAAGATCTGGGACATCCCCGTCTGTGGCGTCCAACAGAACTTAACCAAGGCCAGGAAGACTCTGATTGGTCACTCCAGGAGGGTGGGGCTCATTGAGTGGCATCCAACAGCTGACAACCTGCTGCTTAGCTCCGCCTACGACTACAAGGTCAGGAGCCTCATTGGTCCGTGGCAGAATTACAGATGTGACTGAATGTTGAAATGTTGAAATGATTGAAAAGACATCACATCTGTATTTGTGTCACTTCCTGTTCACATTTTCATTCTGGGCCAGTTGTGTCACCCAAAATGTATTTTGAAGGTTTTCAGCAGAATCTTTTTTAACATGTGGTTCAGTCTAATGTCACCGTGTTGATTGAAGCCGTTAAAGAGATCAGTGTTTCACCTTCAGCCCTGAGTCCGTCTCTTTGTCCCAGGTCCTCCTCTGGGACGTGTCCCAGGCAGGTGCAGTGATCAGGCTCCCGGTCCGCGTGGTTCTGATGCCCGTCCACCACCGCTACCCGTCTGAGGCGCTGCTGCTGTCCGTCAGCTTCAACAGCGACGGCAGCAGGTTGGCGGTCTCGTCCAAAGACAGACGGGTTCGAGTCCTGGACCCGAGGACAGGAAAGATTTTACAAGTGTGTTTTGGAAGCGGTTGATTTTTCTGTGCGATTCGACTGAAAACAGAAAACAACATTTTTGATAATATTACCGATGTTTCTGCAGGTGTCCAGAAACAGGTCCCACAGGGCCAGTAAGGTTTTATACATCAGAGGGTTGAAGATGCTTCTGTCCACTGGCAGCTCGCCCTGGAACCACAGACAGATCGTCCTCTGGGACCCAGTGAGACACACGTCACATTCAGTAGATTCATTGACTGACTGATTGACAGGTGTATGAAATAGATTTACTCGCAGTAGACATGTCTGCATTTATACTACTACAAATATTATAATATATAATACATACTAATACTTAACTTCCAACAATCAGCAGCTTCTGCAACACAAACAGGTTTTATGTTGTTTATATTTACTAGATAAGAAGGTTCCAGAGTACGCTAACCACCTCGATGTGAGTGTGTTTCCTTCGGATGAAGCGAGTACGTGTCTGAATATTTGAAACCGACAAATGAATCTTACCATTCAAACAGACGTTGTTTGGTTCTCGTCTTCGCTGTGTGTCTGTTTGTAGAACAACTTATCTGAGCCTCTGTACGAGGAGGATTTGGACGGTTCTGCCGGAGTCCTCTTTCCGTTCTACGACCCCGACACTCACATGCTCTACTTGGCTGGAAAGGTCATTCAGTGCAGATGGTTGCTGATTGAAATCGTGTCTTCACACTGTTGTGTCATTAAATCCCCAGATGATCAGACTCTACCTCAGATATTGTGTTTGTGCCGCAGGGCGACGGGAACATCCGGTTCTACGAGCTGAGCGCTGAGAAACCGTACATGAGCTTCCTCGGGGAGTTCCGGTCCCTGCAGCCACAGAAAGGACTCGGTGAGATCAAACACACAACACGTACAACTAACGTAAACTTACGATACTGAATAAACTCTAATAACGTAGAAAGGATGGATGAGACAAATATTTACTGTTCGTCTGTCTCGTTTTCTCAAACAAACCATTTAACGAAGAACATTAGTTTAGGAAAAGACCAACTAATGTGAGCTATACCAGCACAAGCTAGCTAGCTAGACCATTGTTTGAAAAAGACAAACTTACAAACAGTGGTGGGACGAGTAAACTGAAACAGTACTCAAGTAGAAGTGTTGTTACTTTAGAATTATAACAACTCAAGTAAAAGTTGTTGTTTTCATTATAAATGTCATTAGGAGTAAAAAGTATTCACAAATCAACTACTCTCAGAAGTACAATTTATTTAAATAATTACTCAGGTACGTGTAACGTGCTACCACCAACCTCTGCTCACGATAAACTTGGTTTAGAATAACATCAAGTCGATATCTACAAGACTCATCGTAGGAAAGAGACCAACTGATATATAACAGGAATATTTACATCAGCTATCTATCTTCACCACGATTGATTTTTCTTTCTATAAAAAGTCCAAACGTCCTCTCACCTTTCAGGAGTGATGCCAAAACGTGGCCTGGACGTTAGCGTGTGCGAGGTTTTCCGATTCTATCGTCTGATTGCTGTCAAAGACCTGGTGGAGCCATTGTCCATGATCGTACCCCGAAAAGAAGTTAGCATAATATCAACATCATGTAATGTGTTCATATATTTATATATAAGTTTATATATATATATATATGTTTATATGAAAAAAAAAAACTGTTCTTGCAGTCGGATGTTTTCCAAGAGGATCTGTACCCGATGACGGCTGGAAACCAGGCGGCCATGACGGCTCAGGAGTGGCTGTCAGGGATCGACAGGGGTCAGTAACCACCAGTGCTTTGATTCAAAGCAGTTCACAGGTTGGCTACATCCTGTTTCTCTCACAAAAACCCGTCTCTCACATCTCGGTCAGGACCCGTGCGGATGTCACTGAAGCCTGCGACTCGAGTAGCCAACCCTTACCCAGAAACCCCAGCTGAGAAGGGCGTGGTGAGGCAGCTGAGCAACCTCAGATTCCAGATGAGCCCAGCTGTGGGTGCGCTGACTGGGACACATGTGGACGTAATAGAAGAGGTAAAACTGTGACTGTGGCTTGGACCTTGTACCAGAAGGTAAAAAAAAAAGTACTTCACCGTGGAACCGACAATCAAAACTCCCTCCTTTAACCGAAAAGGTCAAAGTTGGTCAAAGATGTCGAATCTAAGCTTCACAAGCTGCTGAATGCTGATCATCTCTCTCCAGGCGTTCCTCCGGGAGCAGCTGGCCTACCAGGACGCCAAATACCAAAGAGACCTGAGCGACCTGTCGGGGTGGCAACCAGATGAGACCCAGATCCCGCTGTGGATGTACTGCTGCACCCCACACTGCTGCGAGCCTGCAGAGAGGCCGCCGCCCACCACCGAGAGCGAGGCGAGCATTAACGAGACATATCAATTATCAGAGAACCTTTGGGCCACGTTCTCCTTCTCAGTGACGAGAAACTTGTTCTTGGTTTTTCAGCTCCTGCAAACATTTTACAGGCAGCAAGACGAGATCAGAGGCCTGAGGGAGCGACTCAGTCAGAGAGACGTCAGTATTTACCTCCGTCATTCTCAAACCTGACAACCTTAACAGAATCATAGTCTGGAAATAAAGATGGACGACAGGACAGCTCCCAAAAGCTAAGCCAACGCGTCTCAATCGGCCCCTGGTGGCTGGCTGCAGTATAGCCAAAACCGGTCATGATTGACAGCTGATAGTTGTGACAGGTCAGGGGCGGGACCTCAACATCACGGCTCGACTCCACAAACAACTGCAAATGACGTCAAAAGCACAAGATGGCAGCGTTTGTATCAGAGATATTTTAAAAGGGGAGGAAGTGGAGACGTGTCGTCCATCTTTGTTTAGCGTCGAGATCAGAAGCGAGGGTAAACAACAGCTGAACATTTGGTCTCCGCCACACGAGCCGTTAAAAATGTGATCATTCGTTGAATTTATGCAGAAAACGACACAGTGCTGCCTCCTGTGGCCTGATCATGTAACGACACTGATGAAGACTTTTTATTTTGGCTCTGCAGGTGAGAATCGCTCAACTGGAGCTGGAGATCACAAACACCAGAAACAACATGAGAGCGACTTTCTGATTCAACCAATCGAACCTCAGCTGACGTTTCCACACAAAACAAAACAAACCCGACTTTTTAACACGTTAATAGATTCACTTTCAATGCTAAGTTCTGCGTCACGTCTGATTTCTTGGATTGATTATTGTTAATCATCTAATCAGACCACACACAAACACTTGGTTAATTAACACTAATTGTTAAAACTTATGTTCTTAACTTCTTAGAATATTCCATGAATCCTCGTTAGTGAGCTGGACAATCAAATAGAAATCTGGATTTAGTTGAATCTGGTTTCATCTGGATTTATGGTTGGAGAGATGAACTCTAGTAGAGCAGATAGACGATATCCTGATCTGAGTATTCACAAGTACGTCATAACCTTACAAGGAGAAAGTTGTACTTGAAAATAAAGTTGAACTATTACTAGAAGTTACAATGTAATGAAAAATAAAAATATAGAGTTGACTCACTTTCTTACACAATCGTTTCCTGAGTCTTGTTATTTGTGAAACTTAAATAACTTTTGCTGAACATTCCTCTTTTAAACATCTCCATCTACCACGACCGAGTCAAATCACTTCATTCTAAAAAGCTCAGGTTTTTTTCTCCTGTACAAACTATGTACAACATCGTCTTTCTGAGGATCTCAACTTATTTACTTTCTACAAGCAGAAGGACACAAAAACTACTGAACCACCGACACAAGATCACCAGAGATGAAGAAAACACTCTGCTGCATTTTGTTCTGATAATTCACAATAAACAAATATATATAAATATGATAAACATATAGAGAGGATGATGTTAGAGGAGATACAATTCTGCATCTAGTGAATTTAAACGTTTCACGATTATTCTGCTCCGAGAAGAAGAAACTCAGTTTGTGGAAAACGAGAGGAGAGAGGGGGAGAGAGAGAGAGAGACACCAGGAGCAAAATGTTAAGATTTTATTTACAAAGTCCTTTTTGTTTTTTTATTAGTTTTTTCCTTTAACTTACAGAAAGTAAAAAAAAAAAAACACAAATTCAACTAGTCAGTGTAAGTATGAAGGAACGACTGGATCTCTCCTGGAGAGAAAAGAAGAGAGGGAGAGAGAGATGAAGAGAGAGCGTGTCCCCAGACAACCATACAAAATTAAACAAAAACAATTTCTCTGAAAAAATATTTCTTTTAAAAAGCTCTGTTGGCAAAGAGAGAGAGAGAGAGAGAGAGAGAGAGAGGGAGAGAGAGAGAACAGTTTGCCCTGAGCGCGCTCGGCCTCGGGGGAATAGAATGGGGTGGGGGGTGGGGGGGGTCGTCCGTCAGTGACATCACAGAACAGAGTGATGATGTCAGAGAGGGAAGGATGGAAAGTGGGAGGTTGTTTTTGTGCATCCCAAAAGTGCCGTTACCTCCCATGAGCCCTTGCTCCATCTCCTTCAAAAGAAACAACCCAAACGTGTCATTTCTCACATTCTGTTAACATCGTTCACCAACGAGGAAACGTCCTGAAGACGCAAATGTGATCGAGATGGTTTGTGATCTGGAAAAACAAAGAGGGAGCTAAAATCGACTTCTCCTTGTGACATCACATCCTGAAGTTTCCTGCCGGCTGTCGAGATGTAGCTCTCGAAAAATTTTACATTAAATTTTTCATCCAAGGTTCTGTTTCATTCTTTATTCTGAGAAAAAGCTTGAGACACAAAACGTGATCCCTGAATAAAGTTCAGATCGAACAGTGCTCGGCTGCATGTGGAGAAATAAAGACGTCACAGAGGAAACGATCTGGAGCTCAGTTTGATCCGTCCTGGACTCAAACAAGTCACTCGATGAGTTGATCAGAATATTTATCTGCAGCGACTGTGATAATCACTCGACTGTTTATTTGTCAATTGAAAAGACAAAAAACGATGAAATGTCTGATTCCAGCTTCTAAAAGACGTTTAGAATAATCAGACATTAAAATGATTAATGGTGACAAATGATCGGCAGATAAACATCATTTATAAAAAAAAACGGAGATGGAGATAAATGTGTGAAGACGCCAGGAAGTAAAAAAGTTCTTGCGGGTTATTATCAGAATCTTTTGATGACCAGATTGACGGTGAGTGAGTTGATTAAATTGGATTTTATTACGCATTAAAGATTCAAACTGTGGGATGAGGACTAAAAAACTGGGATCAGGACAAAACCCTGATCGATGTTAACGCAGGTTGTTTCGATCTGTGAGATGACGAGAGCCCAGAGGAGGAGACCAGTGTCAGAACAGGGACGCAGCCCAGGAGTCGGCCGAGTGGGGGGGAGGGAGGGAGAGAGGGAGAGAGGGAGGGGCCAGTGTCGGAGGTGGGTGGGGTCACCGGGCGAGAGGTCAGCGGGTTTGCAGAGTCTCTTTGGATCCTAATCATCGTCCTCGTCCTCGTCGTCCTCCGGGTCCCTTTTCCTCTTCTCTCCTTTGGCCGGAGACGAGTCTTCGTCTGTGGAGGGAAATTCATCCAGAGTTTCATCATTATCTCAACTGTGGCAGCGACATATTCTATTTATAGACACATAAGAGACGTCATGACTGACAGCTGAGACTGGCTCCTGATTGGTCGAGAGCGTGCGTGTCACAGATGTATTTATTTAACGGGTTTTGGAAAGAGCTGCAGCGATAGGTCACAAACTGAGTTTTCAAAATGAACGTGTTTATTAATGAAAAGGTGACGAGGTATCACTCACCATCGTCCTCCTCATCGTCTTCATCCTCGTCATCATCCTCACTGTCGACGTCTCCGTTCACTTCTCCGTCCTGGAGACAGAAGTTCGTCTCATTATTCTCAACACTTACCGACACAAGGGGAAGATCAACAGCGCCCTCTGCTGCTCCACAAGGTACAGCACACATCATTACAGTGGGAATATCGAGTGAGTGTTAAACTTCAGACTCACCTCTTCATCAGCGCTGTCGTCATCATCATCTTCTTCAGCCACAACGTCCTCTTCATCCTCCTCCTCCTCTTCCTCAAAGTCCTCCGAGTCTCCCTCTGGAAAACAGGCTGAGTCATTTAAACACGACGACGACAAATTTCAAAAAGATTCAAAGGTGGACGACACAGGATGGTTCACGATAAAAAGGATTCGTGTTTGAGAGCATTGGATCAGAACACGACTGGAAAACAAAACAGACTCGATTAATCAATAAAAATCATGAAAAGATTCATCAATTGAACTGAATTTTTTTTATATAATTTGATGTTTATTACTTTAAGATTATCTTTAATATTATCGGAGTCAAAGTTTCACATTTCTGCTTGAAAACATTCGATCATTGAATCGATGGTTCAACGATTATATTTGGATAAAACACAAATCAACAGATTCTTAGACAGAATAATAAATTCTATCCATTGAGCCTCACCCTCTTCGTCCTCGTCCTCGATGCCGTCTCCCTCTCCGTCAGAATCGGACGCTTCGCAGTCGTCGATGTCGTAGCCGTCCAGGTAGGTGAGCTGGGGGAGGAGCTTGAAGATGGACTCTCTGTAGTCGGCCAGGTTTGTCACCTCGCAGTTGAACAGGTCCAGACTCTTTAGCTGAGGCAACTTTTTCTGTTGGGGAGACGACACACGTTGTCACAGCTGCGACTCAGGATCCAACACAATTCCAGCTCAGTCAGGGCAAAGTAATATTTAATTATCATTTATATTTATTCAATAAGGGATGACGAGGCTGATGATGAGCTAACTCCACCCACCAGGGGCTCCAGGGTGCTGATATCTTTGAACTTGTTCCCGCTGAGGTTGAGGTGCGTTAGATTCACCAGTCGCTCGGCCAGGACCTCCAGACCGCCTGATATCCTGTTGTCACTGAGCTCCAGCTGCAGACGGAGGAAAACGTTCATTTCATTCACTGAAAACAAACGTCTGATCAAACGAGGGGGAAAGTTTCTGACTCTGACGATTTTCACTCTGAGTTAAGACCAAGAGAAAAATGATTGAAATATTTGAGGTTTGTCAGTTTGGTATTTTGTCTTTAGTTCATTGTACGAGTTTGTCGCTTCTGTTTTATTTTTATTTGTTTCCTGCTTTGATGTGAACAAGAAGAAGATTCTTTAAGTAGAGTTTGTTATAAGTTCAAAGTGAAATCTTTCGTCCTTTTTAACCAGAAGACATTTGAATGTGATTTAACACGTGTTCATCAACTCTCGGACCTCTGCAGTGGAAATGTTCCTCAAGTATCTACGTTGGTACTTTTACTTCCTGTGATGTCATTTCCTGGAGAATCTTCAAATGCTTAATGTCTTCAGCTTAAAGGTTCTGTGAGTAAATAAGTTATAAAAATTCTTCTATCGATGTGAGTTCTATAAACAGGAGGCAGAACGAACAGCTCATCAAGTGAAACTCTCAACAACCAGAAGAAACGAGATGAGCTCACTCGTCAGATTTTTCAGTTAATACTTTTGAATTCTAACTTTCTTGTTTATTTGATGACTTCTTTTGTGTTTTGTCCAGCTGATGGTGGAAATAGCCAACAGAGTGAGGCCTCTTGCTTCTTTTCTCATCTCTGTTGACACTAAGACTTTTGAGCGCATGTAACAAAACGTGTCCCATGAGGTAGAAACAGATTTAATGTTGTTAACATGATGGTTTTTATCTTAGATCCGTTTAAACACACACGCTGTCGTTCACGTGGCCGTGCTACGTCAGAGGACGAGGCGGGTTCGTGCACTTCCTCTTACCTTCTTCAGTTTGTCCAGTTTGGGCAGGTCTGCGACGCTGGTCAGGCCGACGTTGATGAGGCTCAGCAGCTCCAGGTTGGAGAACTCCTCCGTGATCCCCTCGATCTTCCCTTCACTGGAGCGACAGTTGTCCAGAACCAGCTCCTGCACCTGAGGGGGCGGAGCGTTAGTCAGCCATTCGTTGACGACTCAGCAAGAAAGTGAAACTGTCCTGACGATGAAACCGAGTCCTTGAACCTTTAGTCAGATTTACCTGCTAGTTCAGAGCATAAGAGAAGTAACAGTTCCACACTTCTCACAGGAGATCGCCCCCCCCACTCCAGGCTACATCCACAGCTTTAGTTTGAATATATATAAATATAAACTCTAGAGATTAGTCTGACGTCGTCTCATCTCTGGAGTTTTAGTTAAAACTGAAATGTGTAAATGTTGCTGATTTTCCAGTTTGAAAAATCTGAGTCTGCGTTTTAGTCTGGACGAAGAGAAACTGATGTTTGAAACGTAGACGCTGGCTGAGACTGATTCTGGTCACATGGCCTCCCTCCAGGGCAGAAACAAGATGGAGAATCAGTGTCACTGAGCCCGTTGTCCTTGGTAACAGATGTTTACATGAGGACGAGGCCAGATGTTCTTACAAGAATCAGCAACAAGGACGAGGGGACACAAGGAGACGTTCAGGGTGAAGAGGACACATTCTCCATATTCACTCCGCCATCAAACTGCTGCTTTAAGGTGGAATAATGTGGATCCACGTGTTCACCAGGAGATTTTAAACCTTTCATCTGCAGATGGTTTTAAGGTGGAATGAAAACGTACGTGTGCTCCTGAGGAGGACGCCGCTCAGAGAGCAGGAGTCTGCAGCTTCATGTTGGAACCGGTCCCGGTGTGTTTGTAAACTCCGGACACATGTGATGCTGCTCGGTTAGCTCCGCTGCTAACTCCCCGCTAACTAACGCTGCTCCTCCCGGGCTCTGCAACACAACCCACCGACAACAGGCCGCCCGGCCCCCGATCTGAACCCGCTCCACATCGGGATAAACCCGGGGAACCGTGTCCGAACCCGAGCTCACACTGGAGCCTCTGTAGCATGCTAGCAGCTAGCACGCTGCTGGCCCCGCGCCTTCAGCACACGGGCTCCGACTAATCTCTGGAGTGGCGCCGATATCGGCAGCGTCCATGTTTGTTTGTTAATATGTGAACGTGACGAGTCTGTTTCACTTTGAAAGCTCCAGCTTCACGCGGGATTCTCAGAATTAACTGAGATAGATTCACAGTTCTGAGATCGAAGCACAACTTCGTGTTCTGTTCAACAAGCTTGGAACAACGCAAACCGCCCTCTCACTTCCAGGTGACTCCAGGCATTAGCCAGGCCCCAGACAAACGTATGTCCGCCTCACATGTTTAATTCATTTCACTCAAACACCAGCAGCTGAACAAAGTGACCAGTAAAGTGACACATGGAGAAATCAATGAGTGATGAATGAAGGGATGAATGAAGGGGTGAGTAAAGGGGTGAGTAAAGTAGGAGACGAGCTGGATAAAGACAAAGTCAAGACGTAGATGATGGAAACAAGACGCGGTGAAAGACGCGGGGACAAGCCGCTGGGGAGAGGCGGTGAACCGGGTCAGTGAGCGCGGATCTCCGGGCAGAGAAGTGAACACTTTGATAAATCTGACGTAAATGCACAGAAAGAGTTAGTTCATTGTTCGGAGGTTTGTTCGGAGGAGGAAACACAGTTCGGCTCAGTTCGGCGGCTGCAGGCGCCATGTGCTCCTAACGTTACCCCGCAGCGCCTCCCACCAACAACCCGCCACACGAGCCCCGGGCCCGGCCTCACCTCTGTGGGTGACCGGTGTCGCAGCTCTAAGGAGACCCTCTTCTTCATGTCCATGGTCCTCAGCTTCTTCCTCGTGTCTGCGCACGAACCCGCGTGTTTCTGCTTCAACACGAGGAACCAGCGTGAAGCGCGTCCCCACAACAACACGACACTTCCGGGAAGCTTTTCAACGCAGAGCAGCGTGGATCCAAACCGGAAGTGAATCATTTGTTGTTACGGTCGAGTTTCCATCACACGCAGTGTTTCACCTTCGTGACGTCATGTTGTCAGTTTTTCATTAAAACAAACATCCCGCACGTTTCACGCTCGCTTTCTTTCACACCAAAGTTTTATTCTGAAGTGTACATGTTTTATTTCCGGTACGCACGGACAACTTGATCCAGGTCATGAACGCGCACGGACACGCGCCCGTGGCGCGCTTTAAAAGTGGGTCAAACCGTTTGTTGCTTTTAATTGTTCTAGAAAATATCAGAAATTTGAGATTTCAAACGCATATTGACGATTAAACTAATAATAGTTTTAATAGAATATAAACTAAAACAACAATAATAATAAAACATTAAATCTGACCTTTCTCATATT